CCCCCCCCCCCCCCGCCCCGCCCCGGCAGAGGAGTGCACGTGGCAGAAATGAGAAACAGCTCGATGTGTTTATGGCCTTGGCTCGTTTCTATTAAAGGCAGAAAAATAGTTTTATTTTTATTTTTACTTGTTTTAATTAAAAACCTGTGTTCGTTTTACTTCGTCATGATTTCTGACCTGGTCAAAATAAATCTGTTTAATGTCGCATCTTTTAGATTCCTGGATTATTGAGCATGCATCAGGATATTTCCTGGATTATTGAGCATGCATCAGGATATTTCCTGGATCCAGAGACCCCGCACAAAAGTGACAGCGTTGCTAGGCAACAGATGCTGTTAAAGGGGCGGTGCTTCGTGAAATATTTATTTCTCTGAGAACTGAAAGGGTTTTTAAATATTTTACATAAATGTGCCTGTTTGAATTGAATAGTGTCATTTAAAAGGCCCCAAAGCAATAACCCCCACCCAAAGGACATTAAGATCAGCCTAATCAATTATTTCTCTGACCTCTCCTCCATTCGCAGAGTTTTTGGTGCAGCCATCGTCCTCACCTCCACCCTCAACATGTTCATCCCCTCTGCTGCCCGGGTCCACTACGGCTGCGTCATCTTCGTCAGAATATTGCAAGGACTCGTGGAGGTGGGGGCATGTTTCTTTGATTTAATTCATGAGGGAAGGTCAGCCCAGGATTTATTCTCACCATGAGGCTGCGTGAGGAGCTTCAGTTTAACTGGAACATGAACTACAACCAGAGGAAACGTGAGAGGAGCTTTATTGATCAGGTCCAGTTTGTGGGACACCCCCTGGTTTTTTGTTTCCAGTCTCTGTTTGTCTCCTGGACACAGCAGATTCTCTTTGTTCATTATGAGAAGGAAAATGTTGATTAAAGGACCAATAAATAACAGCTGTTGAACAAAATCTGTTTTAAATTGTAAAAGCAGACTTTACAGTTGTGAACACATGAAAGAAGAAACATGCAGGATTGAATTTGTTCACCGTGAACTGTGCTCAGCTCTGGGCTGGTCTGGACGAAGAGCACGGTGTCTGAAAAACATCTGCTGCTCCATGAACAGCTCATCTGCTCATCGCTCGGCTGAAAATGTTCTTTTCTGTTTGTTCTGGTTGCACACATGTGTAATAATGTTGATCATTTCATTCTTTCCTCCACCGTGTTTAACGCTGACGGACTTCCTTCAAAAACCAAAGTGAACCATAAAAATGACGTTGCTGCGTGAACTCTCAGAGCTTCACCTGAAACCGGTTGATGAACGGTTTACTGAGCTGAAGAAGCTGAAATCAGCAAAACTGTGGCAAAATGAGCAAAACTGGAGTTTAAAGCTAAAATGACCAAACCATAGATAAAACCTAAAATTAGCCAAACTGAACCTAAAAGCTAAATTTTGTAAAAACAGCTGATAAAATCTAAATGTAGCCAAACCACAGCTAAATGCTATCATGATCCGACTGTTGCGTGTTCGAACCCACGCGCAGGAACGGAATGAGGCTCCAGTAAATAAGTAAAAACAGTTTATTAATTAAATAAACAAAACAAAATGCTGTCGGGGCAGCAAACTTACTTTTAGGAGGACACACAGGGATACAGAGCATGAAGCCTTAGGACAAGGACAATCCAGAGACACTGACAAGACACCAAGGGCCTGAATATAGACAGACACTAACAAGGTGAAATGAGTGACACCTGCAGTGAGTAGGATCAGACACAGGTGCAACAGTGGTGGAACACAGGAGGAGAAAAGCTGAGGGGTGACAGGCAAACATGAGGGAAAACACAACATGTAAGACAAGACCCCAGAAACCCCACAAATGCTAAAATTAGCCAAACAGTATCTAAATGCTAAAATGAATGCAATCTTGGCTACAGTTAGCCGAGTCTACTGAAACTGAATCTGAAAAATAAATGTACTAAAACCACAGCTGAAAACCTAAATTACCAAAAATTGTAGCAAAAACTAAAATGATCTAAACTGGCTAAAAACTAAATGTTAAAAGCACAAATGAGCAAAATAGCAACTCAAATCTAAAACTACACACCACAAGCTGCAAGCTAAATTTAGCATTTATAGTTAAAAGCTAAATATTTCTGAATTGCAGCAAAAACAGTAGCTACAAGCTCAATGTATCAAAACCAAGAAGACAAAAGTGCAGAAGATGTCCAAGTAGATTTCAGAAATCAAAGTATCCAAACTAATTTGATTTTCAAACAAATGTTCAGAAGAAACTATAAACAGGAGAACATCTGTGTGATGGCAGCAGTTACAACTAATTTATTATTGATTAAGTGTCGACAAATTAGGAGTTTGTCTGTTAAAACCAAGCAAAGTGTCCCAGATGAAGTCCAAGAGCAACCTGCTGCTCCTCAGATGAATGACTGACGCTGAATGATTCTGCTCGTGTCCTGACACGACCTCAGCTGTGACTTGGAGCGACAGAAACAACTGGACCGAACTCATCAGCTGCTCCTGTGTTGTGTTCAGGGAGTCACCTACCCGGCCTGTCACGGCATCTGGAGTAAATGGGCTCCACCGCTGGAAAGGAGCCGCCTGGCCACCCTCTCATTTTGTGGTAAACACGTTTTTGTTCTTCGACGTACATTAGTCAAAAAAAAAAAGAAAATCTCCAGAACTAAGATGTTGCTTGTCCGGTGCTGCGTTCAGGTTCTTATGCTGGTGCTGTGATAGCCATGCCTCTGGCAGGGATTCTGGTCCAGTACACAGGATGGTCCTCGGTGTTCTACGTCTACGGTAAGACGAACAGATGCCACATGATGAAATGCACATATGTGTAAGACTTGCATGTGCTTCTCTGTGTGGCGGCTCCAGAGTTTGGTGAAAGTCAAATGGATTTTTCCAGACTGGGTATTGATTTCTATCCCAGTTCTTCTCTCGGTCGATAACTAACCTCCCAGTGGATACAGTCAGCTTTCCAGTCCGAGTTTTGTCCTCTCAGGCGTTTTGCTCACTGATGAGGTCAAAATGAGTTTCAGCTCATAATGAACTAAACATCTGCTCTGTTTTCCAGGATGCTTTGGCATTTTCTGGTACATGTTCTGGATCTTAGTGTCTTACGAGAGCCCCGCTGAGCATCCCTCCATTTCTGATGAGGAGCGCTGCTACATTGAGGAGAGCATAGGAGAGAGCGCCAAGCTGATGGGCCCTTCAGAGGTGAGGTGGGACGGGGGGGGGGGGCGAAGATTGAGAACAGCTTAGCCTTCTGTTGCACCTGGTGTTCTGCCTGCATCTGATCCTTTTGTGCGGTTCCAGAAATTCAAGACCCCCTGGAGGAAGTTCTTCACCTCCATGCCCGTCTATGCAATCATCGTGGCAAACTTCTGCCGGAGCTGGACGTTTTACCTGCTGCTCATCAGCCAGCCTGCATACTTTGAAGAAGTGTTCGGCTTTGAGATAAGCAAGGTGTGATTTCAACACGAGTCCACATGCACATGGCCCAGACAGGCAGACAGACAGACAGACAGACAGGCAGACAGACAGACAGGCAGGCAGGCAGGCAGGCAGGCAGGCAGACAGACAGACGGACAGACAGGCAGGCAGGCAGGCAGGCAGACAGTCAGACAGGCAGGCAGGCAGACAGACAGACAGACAGACAGACAGACGCAGGCAGGCAGGCAGACAGACAGACAGGCAGGCAGACAGACAGACAGGCAGGCAGGCAGGCAGACAGACAGACAGACAGACAGGCAGGCAGGCAGACAGACAGACAGACAGACAGGCAGATATAGATAGATAGATAGATAGATAGATAGATAGATAGATAGATAGATA